TTAATGGTGGTTAATGGTGATTAATGGTGGTTAATGGTGGTTAATGGTGGTTAATGGTGGTTAATGGTGGTTAATGGTGGTTAATGGTGATTAATGGTGGTTTAAAGGGTGGTTAATGGTGGTTAATGGTGGTTACATGGTGGTTAATGGTGGTTAATGGTGGTTAATGGTGATTAATCGGGGTTATTAATGGCTAATAGTGAATTAATGGTGATTACCCTCTGGTAATGACTAACAGTTTGCTATTGAAAATGGCCATAGAAATAGTGGATTTACCCATTAAAAATTGTGATGTTCCATAGTTATGTTAAATTACCAGAGGGTAGCTGCTAAAATGGCCACAGACTGGGTAAAGTGATGATTAACCAGTGGATTTAGGGGAAACAGATCTGATTTAGAAAAATGATGATTGAACGGACAGAATTGCCCAAATCTCATCCAGATTCGAAACATGAAATGGTGCTGGGATCTTTATAAGTGATGTTCTTGGGGTTTGTTGCAGGTACCTTAGGAAAATAAAAACTTCCCCACAGATTGGCAAAATTAGATTTGTGGCTTATCATTCTGGGGAAAAAATAAGTCACCAAACAAAGTGATGTTTCATCCCCATTCTTTGTGGATTAATCACCAATCAGCAGAGACTTTTGATGGGGTTGCAGTGACCCAACGGCACTTGAACCATGTAAAATTCCCTGTTTGCCGATCCCATTACACTGGTTCGTTAAGAGCGGTATCCCCTCAGCTATGGTTTGCAATTAGTAATCGATCCCCAATAAACCAGGTAGGTTAAGGTATTTCAAAACTAATCAATCATCAACCAACCATCAGCTATCGATCGCAACAATATCACCGTTTTTGTTGGTTCAAATACTACGCTTGATAGTTCATTCACCGTTTCATTAAGAAAAAACAACAATTTGGTATTAGTTATCAGTTTTATCTATCATTCTCTAACTGCTTAAAACCCTTCTTTGATCTTTAAATCCCCCTGTCTCATAAACAATCAACCATCAATCAACCATCATGTTTCCGTGACATGCCATCTCTTGGTGGTAAAAATGTGATATTTCATGCCCAAAAAACCTCCAGATTTCATAACCCAAAAAAACCACAGGGCGACTCTCCGTCCAAGTGGCCGTCTCTTCAATCTGCTTCAGCGTCGGCCCACCCTTGGGCGGCGGCACTGCCGGGGCGGCGGCAGAGGGCGCCGGCGCCTGTGCCATGGCCATAGGTGGCTGGCCTGGCGGCTTCTCCATGGGTGAAACAACCAGGATATCATGGCTACAACGTGGGAATATGGGATGATTACCAACTACCATAGTTAACTATAGTAAAACTACCATGGATCCATGGTAAAACTATTACTATAGTTAACTATGGATCCATGCTCATTTTTTGGCGAACTATAGTTACCATGATTACCCTCGATCAAACATGGCTGGAGAATTCCCCCTTTGAGCGAAATGGGAAAATCATCGAAGATCAACCAACCAGTAAATGGTAAGTCAACTGGATCTCAATTATGGCTGGTGAAATATAGCAATAGTGATATGGTTTGGCATTTGTACACGGTAAGACCATGACCTACGGGATTTGAAGATTTTTTGGGCTTACCCATTTTACCCACTAATCATCCCATAAATAAGCCCATTAGAAGATAAATGAATTATATAGGTGATTTAGAGTTGTTTTTGGAATTATAAATCGAAACCGGTAATTGACTAAATATACGAACCTATAATCATGGAAGCATTGGGAAAAAATGAAATATTCTTCGTGGTCATGTCAATGGTATATATAGTATAAATCATCTGTAAACCATCTATGGGAAGACACTTTTTTCTGGAGTACAAAACACTAAACTCTGGAGTTAATGGAGCTGATTTCTAAGTGAAATACGTCGTCTTTACTCCTGAGTTTATGAGTGTCAGAATGTGCACATCAAGCTTCCATGTCTAAACTTCAAAGTCAATCCCCTCGCTCCAACAACGCTTGCACAGCACTAAACTGCAGATTTTTGTCTCCATGGACTGTGCCCAAACGGCACCAGGTGCAAAAAAGCCAGTGAGTGGCTAAGCAAAATCTAATTTCTTTCCAGAAACCACCCACACAACGATCTCCAAACATCGGTCACTATGTACCCTGACAAAAACCTACGGATAGTAGTTCTTCATGCGGCTACGATTCAAAACTTACCAGACCCCCAGCTACCTAGAATGGATCAAATCACCCCCCAAAAATGCTCAACAGTTTTGAACCATAGCCTTGCTGCTGTTAAGTCCAAACAGATGAATCCCCTGCAAAGAGTCTTAGACAGATAGATACATAGCTAGATAGCTAGATAGCTAGATAGCTAGATAGATAGATAGATAGGTAGATAGATAGATAGATAGATAACTTACATTCACGAACTCCTGCCGGGGTCTCGCCATTCCCAACTCCCTGTGAAGAGTCTTAGACAGATAGATACATAGCTAGATAGCTAGATAGCTACATAGCTAGATAGCTAGATAGCTAGATAGCTAGATAGCTAGATAGCTAGATAGATAGATAGATAGATAGGTAGATAGATAGATAGATAACTTACATTCATGAACTCCTGCCGGGGTCTCACCATTCCCAACTCCCTGTAAAGAGTCTTAGACAGATAGATACATAGCTAGATAGCTAGATAGATAGATAGATAACTTACATTCAAGAACTCCTGCCGGGGTCTCACCATTCCCAACTCCCTGTAAAGAGTCTTAGACAGATAGATAGTTTGATAGATAGATAGATAGATAGATAGATGGCTAGCTAGCTAGATAGATAGATAGATAGATAGGTAGATAACTTACATTCAAGAACTCCTGCCGGGGTCTCACCATTCCCAACTCCCTGTAAAGAGTCTTGGACAGATAGATAGTTTGATAGATAGATAGATAGATAGCTAGATCGATAGATAGATAGATAGATAACTTTCATTAAAGAACTCCTGGTGGGGTCTCATCATTCCCAACTCCCTGCAAAGAGTCTTAGACAGATAGATACATAGCTAGATAGCTAGATAGAGAGAATGGAAGCCTATACTCCGGAGAGAATGGACACTGCAGTACCCAATGAGAACACTAAACTCTGGAGCTTGGTGAGAATGCATTAGAGGAGAAGAAATCTTTTCTGCAGAAAAAAGACATTGTGAAAGCACATCACAAGTCTGCAATTTCCCCCACAGAAAATACATGCCTATAAGTGCAGACCTTGGTCCAAACCTAAACTCCCGAGAGTAGCCATTGTAAGTCCAAGGCACTGAACTCTAGAGATAAGTGAACTGTACAAAGAAATATACAACACTAAACTCTATAGTTTAGAACTTGAACTCTGGATTTTAGTCATTTTCCCATCTATGCAACATCGCCATAAACCGTCTTGGTAATATAAGATGGACACAATCATCCATAAAAGCAGCTCTATAAGAGGAAAATAAGTCAACAGAACAGCGTATGTTGGGGTTACGATAGAAATTCCGCAAGAAACCCATCTCCAGATGTGAATCCCAAGGCACCTGCTTGAATGTGCATCCAACTGTAAGTGGCTAAGGACTAGCTTCATTTTTAACCCCAGAGAGTGCTGTCAATCTTTAGTTTCTAATCATTTTTAAGATCCGTTGTATTATAGTATATTCCATTCAGATTTAAAACAAGTATCCATTTGTACAGGACGAAACTAACTATAGCAACCCAAAAAAACTGGAAAAGTAAATGAACTATCAGTATGTGGATTTGTTTTTGATCGCTATAGTAATGTACCTAGTCAAAAAGTCGTGTATCACCATATAGCAACTAATCGCTACTTGGATGTGCATCCCACGAATCGGATCCGTGGTTTAAAATCCATTCATCTCACCCACATGTCATCCCATAAGTGGGGATATTCCATCAATCTAACTGGTTTTCCGAAACGGGGGGCCAGCACCCCCAACGACGCCTGGTCCGGGCCCGCCGCTGCGCCCGCCGATGCCGCCGGAGCCGTACCTGGATCCCGATGAGCAAATGATGTTTCGTCATATTTTTTCCAAAGGATTGATCAAGAGGTGGTGATGTTTTCTTTCCATGGAGATGTGTCATCCGGTTCTTCAGCTGCCATCAGGGCGGCTATGTGCCAGGTTTGAGGTGCTTTGATCTGTGTGGAGTTTTCCTAAGTCATGGGAGTACCACCAAATCACCCATGATATTTTCGAATTTTTCATGAAGTAAACCATCCATCTATTGGGGTGCCCCCATGTATGGAAAACCCCATGTCATGGTTAATGATTCCCCAACTTCACCTGTAAAACGAACCTTGACTGATGGAAACCACATTGGAAAAATTTCTGACCATCTCACCGTCTGACTCTTGGGCACATCTGCGACTCTGAAGGCATCATGGCCATGGGAGTAGCCTTGGCAAGTGGTTTGAATCAATTGAGTTCTTAGGTGCCTCCCAGTTGCTAAGACCGGATGACAATGTGATAAACAAACTGGTCATATGCGGGAATAATATAGCAAGCTGGGATGGAAGATGATGGAAGTGAGCATGCCACATCTTTTTTTCCGCAGCGATATGTAGTTCATGTCGAAATACAAGTCAGCAGCAGCTTTCCGTCAGCCGAATGGAGGAACAAGATGCAAAAAAATAAAGTGAATAGAACAATAGAATCTGTGGCTGCGGGATAAGCTACAAACAAGCACCTATAACACGGGAGCCGATGGTTTTGTGTAGGTGGACCCCAAAACCAACGAAACGACGGAGAAGCAATAATCACAAAAGAGAAAATATACTTAAGGAGATCGGTCCCGTGACGCATAGCAGGGTTCGTGACCACTTGTCTCTCGCTTTGGAGAGTAAAACTAGAAGAGGGAGAAAGTAACAACGATGGAATGACCGTGGTCTCCCGGCACGCCTCTGGCGGCCCCTGAGAGCTTTAGCTGCAAGGTAATGGAGTTGATGTGGCTAGAAGTAAAATTTTGTCTTGGCCCCCAAAATTGAAGTGGAGAAAGCTTAATAAAAAGTTGCTACCTGTGATGTGGCTTGGTTTGGTCGGAGCTGGTGATAACAGCTTCCTGGTGGTAGTCTACCTCCAAGTAAAAATTTCCTTATAACAGAATTAATTTTATAAACAGGGACTTTCAATCCCGTGAGAACAGGGAATGGAAATTGCCACGGCCCCTTCAGTACAGTATGACGAGGAGTGTACATTCCAGCAAAGGAGGAGAGTGAAAAGTGCGAGTTGATGTGGAAGACTTCCCCCTTTGTCTTCATCTTGGAGTGAAACGTGAAAAATCCAGAAAAATGTGCGTGAAGAAAATGTCGATAAGGTAGAAAATTGGCTGGAATTGCAAGCAGGGTAGTAAGGCAACCGAAACGAGACACAATGAGACCAAGTAAGAGACGGTTGACTTGGTACTGGTTCCAGCAAACTCGGAGAATGAGATGTAGAAGAGAATGTGCAAGGCTTCCCCCACAGCCTTGAAGAAGGAGTTGAATACGACAGATCCAGAATAGTGGTTGGAGAAAATGTCGATGTAGAAAATTTTAACCAGAGCAACAAGCAGGAGCTGGTATATGGTGCAGAAGCGGTCACCTAAAGGTTGTCCAAGTAGAAAATGGATGCTGCTTGAATTGTACACGAGGCTGACATGGCAGCGAAAGAATCCTGATTGGATATTCCTGAAAGTACAGGGGCTTGCGAACGGAGGCTACATAAAGCTTGTGCCCGTGCCTAGCATGCCACAAATATGAAAGGAAAATCAAGGAGTCCCATTGGGCGCTGGGACTTTCCAGCAGTATATATGACCCAGAACGAATTTGTTGACCTGTAGGCTGTGAGGTTCGTGGACTGTCTCTCGACTGCATGATCAATTTCACTTAAAACACAACGGATTTTTTGCTGTTGTTCTCCGAAATTTGGATGAAACAATTCAACTTGCCAGCGACAAAAGATGACAGGAAGAAAAACAACGGACAAAATCTGTGAATATCTTAATTTTTGTTGGTTTATGTCCCCATGTCATTGCGTATTGTCTCTTATTCTTTTGATTGTTTTCATTCTATCTCCTCATGTAGGAACATGGGTTTGACTGAAAATACGGCACCCCAGACCCCAAACTCCCCTGATTTACCGGTGTATCATCATTTTCCCATTTTCGGACCAACCCAAATCCAGAAATTCATTAGCTGACTCGCCGGTTTTCGCGCACTCGAAACTAAATCCCCGATTTGATTGGTTCCAGCCACCCGAATGAAGGAAATCCATGGAAATCCCATTTTTCCCTTGGTTAAATCCCTTTTTTAACGGTACTTTACAACCATTTTTGGTGTCAAAATCCCCACCGCCATGGTTCGTCAAATTTCGCACCGAGGTACCGAGGTGATTCCTCGCTCGTCTTCCTCCCGCTGTTGCCGCAAGTAGTCACCATCAATGATCTCCCGCGCCTGCTCCTGCGCATGGAGATGCCTGCTGCTGTGGTCCCACCAAAATTTCGGGGCTCATCACCAAACTTGATTTTTAACGATCAAAATTGGGAGGATAATGGTAATAGCAGGATCTAAACGTTTGTTCCACATCGCCAGTCAGTTTGGCAAACGGCGACTGACCGGTGTTGTTTGGCTGTTTTCACCATGTTCATGTTTGATATCACCAGCCTTACTGGTAAAGATATGTAAGCATCATTTAAATTGTTCAGAACTGGGCACATCAATCAAGCGTCGCAGGGCTCTCACACAGGGCCGCGCGGCACACAAGCGCTTGGTCCAGGCATTTTAGCGTTTGAGAAAACCACATTCACTTCCACAAAACAAACCATCACATCAATGAGGTTGCAGCAAATGGGGGGCGCACTTAAGTGCTTAGCAGACCATCAGCGCTTAAGCCGCTTAAGCCCAAGTGGAATCAACTTGGTCAGGCAGCCAGCACTAAAGCACAATTTGGATCAGTTCAGCCAGGCAAGCGACACTTTGGCACAAGTTTGATCAACCTGATACCGTTCACACCTAACAACACATCGCCATTTGATGAACACTCATCTAAGCAGACTAAAGCTGCACCAAGATGTCCAAACTGCACTGCAGCCGCAACTAGTGGGATAAATAACCATTGGATGGTTGGCATTCTTGCTTCACACGATTTACAACTGGCACTCTGGTAAAATGCAAACATAAACTAGCAACCCCCGAACTTGCCCATTTCAGGGTTTCTTATAAACCTGTCTGGACCAGAAAAATTCCTGATCTTTCTGATTGGTGGCTCAGCCGCCCCCTCTTCGTCATTGCAGATCGCCTCAAATAATTTTTGAAGCCACCAGGCAGATCGTCATTGGTTTTATAATTAATCATAATAATCCTATGGTAGATTGTTAAATCCCCATGGTTTGTTCCCCACCTGCCAGGTGAGGGTCTCTAGATTTTATCAAAGTTGTTTCCTCCTTCTCCTTCTCGGAATAGATGCCATATAGAATGTCAGAATAGAATGTCAGAAAGAATGTCAGAAATTCTGTAAGAATACGGGCAAACCCCTCAGCTTGCCCGCGCCTACGTCGATGACGTCTCCGAAGATCAAAAACACTGTGTTTTGTGGAACAAAATGCACATGTCCATGATCATGGCTTTCATCTTGCAACGCACAGCTAGGGCTACTTGTGCGTTGAACGTTACATCATCATCATCATCATCATCATCATCATCATCATCATGATCCTCGTCGTCGTCCTCCTCCTCCTCCTCCTCGTCGTCGTCATCATCACCATCATCATCATCAGCATCATCAACAACGACAAACCCTAAAAGCCTAAAAGCCTAAAACCCTAAAACCCTAAACTCTAAACTTTTTGAAATTTCCCTTGAATCTAAAGTTTAACGGGGGTGGGAATTTCATGATTCCCTAGAAACTCTGTTGAAACATGTTGAAGATTCCCTTGAATATAAAGTTTAACACGCCCTTCAATATCCTCGGAAAAGTGGTGTGGGCGAGCTGGGGGGTTTGCGCGTAAGAATGCTGTGTCACGGTGGGGATCACTCAAAGAAAGTAATTTTTCCATACCCATCATTTCACGCTTATTTTCCACTTCAAATCTAGTTTCCCTATGTGTTTCCTATGATTTTCTATGGGTTAACTGGGCTAACCCATAGTTTTAGGCCGAAATCCAACCGGCTTTGCCCAACGCAAAAAGCCCAGCCGAAAGGCCGCGCTCCATGCCCTGGTCGTTGCCGACTTCTTCGAAGATGTCCCGCGATTTGATTGCGTTCTGCAGCACCAGACGGCTGGGGCTATAAATCATGGTATCCATATGGATACATTAGAGATACATATGGATAATGATAGATATGTTCTATTATCACAGATAGTAATTCTATATTCTATGTCCACTATACATATATATACCCTCTGGTAAACGTTTACATAGCTATGGAAAGATCCCACCCATTTTTAATGGGAAAATCCACTATTTCGACTGGGCCATTTTCAATAGCAAACTGTTAAATTACCAGAGGGTACATTAGAGATAGCATAAATGAATCATGGACCCATAGAATCCATACCTGATGGCAGTATATGTTATGAAATATGGAATAGATTGCCATCCCAAAAAAGATTTCGGAGTTAGGTGTTTCCAGGTGGTCCCACTTTTCTATCTTTTTGAGGGTTGCTATATATATATAGGATGGCATATGGGACACAATGTGGGATATCAATCGATACAATATGATACTACGTGGCTTATATATACATGACATAGATAAATGATGATCTCCATGGGTCCTATGGGCTATAACTTAGTAGCAGCTACCTGGGATGCACCGCATAGCTGTCATCAAACCCTCAGTTCCAACGTGTGGCAGCTTACAAATGACCGCCAACTGATGATGCGAACTTGCAAAATCTCCCCGTTCTTTGGTCAACCTGGGAAGGGGTTCTCCTACATTTGCCTTTGGGAAACTCATCATCATTCTTCGATTCTTCACCAGCCACCATTCCTGAGATACACATCCAAGTAATTACAATAAAGAAATGAGGCTTCAGAAAAGCCTCAAGTGGTAAAATAAGTTAGGCTGTCTTTTTGGGGTCAACATCGTATCCCAATATTTCACAGCTCCCGGGGCTACGAGAGGGATACCCTGAAGGTGCTGTTTTTCACACCACCAAGGACTGTAACAATATACAGTACCAAATCCGATGGGATTGGATGTTTGATCTTTTTGGGGGTTGCTATAATATGTGTATGTATATATATATATATCTGTACATTTTATGTTATATATGTTATTATATATATATATTGGATGACATATGGGATGGCATATGGGATACCACATTTCTTGATGCCTTTTTGGGGTTTTACCATCTTGCTCGGCAGCTGCAACAACGACATCCATCTTTCTGCACCTCCTTGGCCTTGTCATCTTCACCATCGCAGATGCAGATCTGGGCCTGGCACTTTGGGAAATCAATGGATGTCAACCATCAATGATGGTCTTACCATCAAAAGTGGTAAAACGTGGAATTATGACAACAAAATGAGGTGTCGATGGAGTGATTTAAGGCCGTTTCCCGCAGATGTTCCCTTCAACCAATTCTGGATGAAAAGTGAAGCACAGTGGGAAAAAAATGTTTTATCATCTTTACCTTTCAGTGATATCTAACCCACCCATTTGGTGTCATTGTTAAAAAAAAAACGTTTTTTCTAGGGCTGTTCTACCGTACGCGCCCACGACGGCAGCGCCTTCAGCAACCACAGGGACGCTTCTTCCATCCCTGCGGGCTGTGCATGATTTGTCCCCTTGCCTACCTTGCAACAGGTATCCCAAACCTGATTTAGGGTCCTCACTGGTTCGCGGCTTTCACCCAAAATTATCGGAAAAGCCACTGCGCTGTGGGGATTCTCCCAATCGAAACCAGGGTTTTATCCGCCGAGTCATCAACGAACAACATCCACCCACCGGGAAAGAACGTAGTGATGAATAACGTTTCCAACCCACTGATACAAGGGATCAGGGAAGCCAGGCTGGGTGTCCGACGCTGGCTGTTCTTCTGTGCAATCTCCAGTGATTCATCTACCAAGGGGCCAGCCTGTGCTGCGAGCGTGGGATGTCACCGAGGGCAGTGACATTATTCGTAACCTAGCCGCAACCCTCACAGTTTAATGATGCAGAAAAATACCAACCAAAAATTGAAAAATTACACAAGGTTTGAACGGTCTCTTTCTAGCGGTAGATTTCCCTGTATTTTGTTAGCTGCTTAGTAATAAAGCTGACGAACTGACCTGAGTTTGTCTATGCTCAAGATCACTGCTGGATTCACCGAGGGTTGGTAAGCGAATGTCCCCTGGAGAATTAGCTAAGGGGATCGACACGAGTGAAAATTGTTAACTGCAAAAAGGGCTAAGAAAATGAGGACTACCCTGGATATCCCAAACAATATTCGGATCATCATGACATGTCTATATAGGGAGGAAAATCAATGAGGTTTGAAATCACCACCCAGTTGACTACTGGTTAATTATATATACCCTCTGGTAAACGTTTACATAACTATGGAAATCACCATTTTATAGCTGGGTAAATCCACTATTTCTATGGCCATTTTCAATAGCAAACTGTTAGTTTACCAGAGGGTATATATGGTTCAAAAATCATTTTCATTGGTGAAGTCCACAATGGTTTACTGGTAAAATCCAGGCAAAACCAGGCAATGTTTGCTGACAAATCCTTATTCGTCCTGGTAAAATCCATATGTTCTGTTGGTAGAATCCGTATGTTTCCTGTAAAAACAAAAACAAACATAGAAACAATAAATATGAATAATTATACCTATAGATATACTCAGTATTATTAGTAAATCTTAATCATGCGTCGTTTAAACCAAACAAAACAAAAAAATACATGTTTTTCAGTTATATGTTCTTTCAGTCATGGGACATCCCCAGTCGTCATCTGTCGCTACGAGCCTCCCAATGCCTGAAGCACATGATCCTTGTCTTGGCCACCACCTGCGCAGTGGCCAGAGGCACAGCAGGTGTCGTGATTTTAAACCGATCAAAAAGATGGGAAAATGAACCAAAAACAAGGTCCCGGCATCTGAGCCGGCCCCCGCTGTTGTCACTTTTCAAACATTTTTCAGGGGGGACCACAAAACGCTGAAAAACGAAACCTTAGCATCAGGAGCAGTTTCATCATCATCATCATCACCATCATCATCATCATCATCATTTACATATCCATAACCATCCACCTAACACCCGCCCTACGATCTGCAAGTGCATGAGAACGTACAGCAGCGTAGCATGAAATATGTGTGCAAGTGCAAGAGAACGTACAGCGGCGTAGCATGACGTATGTGTGCAAGTGCATGACAACGTACAGCAGCGTAGCATGACGTATGTGTGCAAGTGCATGAGAACGTACAGCAGCGTAGCATGACGTATGTGTGCAAGTGCATGAGAACGTACAGCAGCGTAGCATGACGTATGTGTGCAAGTGCATGAGAACGTACAGCGCGTAGCATGACGTATGTGTGCAAGTGCATGAGAACGTACAGCAGCGTAGCATGACGTATGTGTGCAAGTGCATGAGAACGTACAGCAGCGTAGCATGACGTATGTGTGCAAGTGCATGAGAACGTACAGCAAATGACGCTATTATCCCACCCCACCCCACCCCCCCCACCCCCCTCGTCTATGATGTCGTTTTTAGTGTAATGTCAAGAAGTAACAACAGCGGGGGCCGGCTCAGATGCCCGGCACCAAAAACAAGGCAGGAACTGAATGTTCAAGCATGAACACTGCTTTTAAGATGGTTTTGAACTGCCAAAAGTGGATTTGTGACCACCAGAAAAGGGAATTTCAGATGATCTGAGCAACCAGAATGAGGATGTGAATAATGAAAAATGTTCAATAACCTACACTTCATCACCCCAATTTTTGTTACTCAGGTTTGACCCAAAAAGACCAAGGGTGGTATTCGAAACCTCGAAACCTCTTGGCATATCTATGGTACCCCAGTGATCATCCCAACAATGAGCAGAATAGACTTCTTGATCGGTTAACTCTATCCCATTGTATCCCTATGTTTGATGACTAATATCCCCATATGATCCCCATTTTAAACACGTCGAGCCATTGTACAAATAGCCCATCCCGTTTCATTCTACTAGCTGGTTGGCGGATTTCCCTACTATGGCTTATCATGAAAACCCCCTAAAGTAGCTAGGGTAAGTCATTAGTTAGTTCTCAACCATTCAACCAGGCTATTCTTCATCGCTCATCTTCTGGTTGCCTGCATGGAATGCATCATCAGCAGCTCATCATCTGCATCTCGCGCCAAGCGCAAGGATTCTTCCGCCGCCTCACTTGCCTGGGAGATTAATAAAAAAAATGGGCCGGCCAGGACTCCCTGGCCGGTCCCATGGCAAACTCAAAATATCATGGGGGGACCTGGGGAAAAATGGCGGCTTGTTTTTTTGTTGACCTAGAAAAGTGAATGATTAAACAAATATGAACAATGGATGAAGGTGATAAAAGTAATATGGACACCTGTCTCAGCGACTCAAGTTTCATACCCAGTTGGAATGGTCTTGGTCGGGCATTATGTGAGGCGCCGATTTGCAAGTATCACTCAGATCTTTTCTGTGTAGCCAAGGGATCAAGCAAACCACTTGAACGCTTTTTTTCTGGACTATCTCTGTTGCTGGTGGAATCCCCAGTTTAATTCTCATCCATCGATCCAGTGGTTCAGTTCCACCTGGCTCGACATTTTCCCCATTCGCCTTGGTACAAACTTCCGGAAGTTCCTGGTCAGATTTGAAGTCCTGCCATGGGGCCATCGGCGAATCGGATCTCCCCAAAAAAAATCTGATTCGTTTGACCTTGCTGCCTGAGCATCTTCATTCCGACACACGCGGAAAACATAAATATATAGTTAGATTAGGCTAGATTGATGTTGTACAGACATTTGAGTATATGATTGTAAATATTATATATATATATTATATATATAATTATATATATATAATTATATATATATGTCATATTCTATGAGTTTCCAGTTTCTCCACTTACGCGAGTCCTCAGCTTGGCTCTGTGCCAGGCCAAACAGGGCCTCAGCCTCTGCCCATGCCATGAATGCCTCAGTGGGATAAACTATCCACGGTTCCATGGTTTATACTTCCGTTGGATGTACCCTTTGGACATTTAACAGTGATTAATGGTGATTAATGGTGATTAATGGAGGTTCTTAATGGCTAATAATGAATGAATGGTGATTACCCTCTGGTAATTTGTGACATAGCTATTGAAAATGGCCCATTTATAGTTGATTTACCTACTAAAGATTGTGATTTTCCATAGCTATGATAGTTTACCACAGGGTATTAGTTTCCAATATATTGGGTAAACTAACATTGGATGTAGAGATATTATCCACTCACATGTATAAACCTTTCATCACATCCTATGTTCGGATGATTTCTACACTTACATTGGATGTAGACACTCCACTCCTACTGGGTGTTCATTTCGATATACCATCCAGTTATACTCACAGTGCCCCAAGGAGCAGTGATCATAACCCGAAATATCACTGTTTTCTTCACAACAGGGTTCCCGGTTCCATGGGTCAGTTTTTAATAATCCCCAACGATCAAACTATATATATATTACATTTATATATATATTATACATTTATACATGTATATAATTTTATATATATATGTACATCAAATGAACAAGGATTTTTCTCACTTTTCCATGAAGAAGTCACCATCATTTGAGGTGAACTCCCTGAGCCCACCGTTGATCGAAGCCCAGAGATCAACGGTCTTTGGAAGATCATTTCACTATTGGACATGGCTATCACTCCACAATCAGTGATTGGATGTGGCTAATACTTCAGGTATAGGCGAATTTAGGCCATTGAAAGACTACGTTCCATTGGCGAAATTTCGAGGAGCGGCAAAATCCCCCCAATTCTCTCGCTTCAATGCTCCGGTGGGACACCTCCGGTCCCGTATCACTCCCAGCCTCTTGTCGGAAACAGGCTGCCTCGGCATGGAAGAGAACCCCCATTTTCCCCATCCATTGATTCACAGAGTAGCCATTGATTCATGAGAACTATATATTGTTGTTAATGTTTTCATCATTATTATTATTCATTGGCATTATTATTAATGATGTTATTACTTATGATTACTATTATTATTGTTATGTACTATCCATTAATTATTATTATTATTAGTAGTAGTAGTAGTGGTGGAGTATTATAGTACTGTTGTTATTATTTATTATTATTACTACTATTAAAATATATATATATTACTATTATGATTATTAATATTGCTATTATTATTATCCTGTTAAAATGGCACTAAGTTAAAGGATGGGAGGTATCCCATCCTTATTTCAGCCCAAAAATCGCACAAAATCCCCATGGATTTCTGCTTTTCAGCCCTGAATAACTCACCATCCTTGGGACCCAATGGTTGTGAATCATCCCCATACTACTTCTGTCACCTTATGTCCCAAAAAAACTTCATCAAATGTGTAAAACATGGTTTGTTAGAATGTTTTAAGGGTACCACCCATGACTGGGAATGGGGTTCACATACCTATAAAAACGCTGATGACTGGAGAATAATTTATGATTCTACCCACATTACCCTCTGGTAAACTAACATAGCTATGGAAAATCACCATTTTCAATGGGAAAATCCACTATAAATGGTCATTTTCAATAGCTATGTTAAATTACCAGAGGGTATTCCCCCTTTTCATCCACACCTTTTTGAATGCCACGGGCCTCTGACAGCCGAGTCGCCTCGTTGAAGATCTGCCGTGCCCGTTTCGCGCAGGTGGCAGATTTGGCGAAGTCGCCCTGGAAGCGAAAAAAGAAGATTTTGGGCGATTTCACCACGAAAATTCAGGGATCAAATACGATGTGGTATAGGTTTTACATAATACATTACACAAGTGGATATTATGAGGAATCCTCCAAAACATCTATACCAACAGGATGTGGCTGATTCTGTTTGATACTTTGAAAGATGATAAAAATGGGATTACACTGGGCAGCCAAGCACAGTTGGGACTGAAAAACGCTGAAAGTCAGGGAGTCACCGCGAAGAAATGGGGATAGTGGATAGTTGATGTGATATTTCATGGGAACTCAGGGATTTCATCGGATCCAGTCAGCTAGTCAGACCTGATCCCGGGAGAGCAAAAAAATCCCAGTATCCCCATGTCTCCCGGGTTAGGGTTGGTATCAATCAGTGACTCGCCAAAAAGCTGGGGTACTTCAGATCACCTTGTGGGCATAGACACAAAAGAGGCGAAACTCGATGTGACCAACCAAAACAGTGTTAATCACTGGGCTTACAATAATTAGCCTCTGGTAATTTAACAGTTTACTATTGAAAATGGCCATTAATAGTGGATTTTCCCATTGAAAATGGTGATTTTCCATAGCTATTTTGACATAACCAGAGGGTATATAGCTTGCTTCATAGAAGAGACTTCGCACCAGATTGGATCATATTGGATCAAGGAACCCTGACCAAGATCCCAGCATTTGATGTGTTGAGCAAACATAGGGAACATAACACTTCAATCCGAAAAGAAAAAAAACAACCAACACAGGTGGAACGCAGTCACTTCCCACTGTTGTCATGGTGTAACCAGGTGTCTAGGCAGCCGAACACTGGTCATGTGCAAGCTCGAGAGATGGTCCAAGGATTGCCCTTCACCTGGGCCACAAGCTGGCGCCCGGCTCAAGTCACCACGATACCCAGGTGAACACCAAAATGTGTCGATGGGATGCTCATCCCCCACAAGATTTGGCAATATGTTGCTTCTGACGCATTCCTATCCCAAAATGGTCGTTTCAATAGCTGATTGACTGCTGGATTTTGCGTGTCTCCCATTTTTAAACAAACCCAGCTGTGGCTATGTGCAATGGGGATCTCGCTCATTTTGAGCGAAATATGGGCATTGGTCAAATTGTTAGGCCCTAAATGGACTGGACAGTTTTTTGCCCCAAACATCCCATTTTGGTGCAAAATCAGCGAGATTCAAATCCACATTCACTCGAAACATCATCAGATCTCTATATCAATGGGGTACCCCAAGAAATGGTGATGGCCGCCAGGTTGAACGCTGGAAATGACCATTAAAACCACCATTAGTGATGGTGTTTACCCCCTGCGAAAACCAAAAATCTCTGCGAATCCAGGGTCTATCACCAAACACAAATGGGTATCCCAGACAAGTAGATGCTTGGTTCATTGCATTGGTGTCAAGGAACATGTTACGGTTGAACCCCCCTTTTATTTCACGGGAATCACCATGGTTTCCTGTGGATTTTCCAGGCTAACTCAGCATCCTCGGGTTTGTTCCAGGCATCCTCCCAGCGGCCAAGGGACCAATGAGCAGCTTCTGACTCGCGAAGATGTCGCGCGCCTTGTGCGCGACCTTCATGGCCTAAGCTATGGCTTTTTGGAACCAACCGAAAGCAGGACCAAACCCGGTCATCAAACGTGGCTGGCTGGGAAATCCCCTATCAATGTAGAGGTATAGCTAGTATAGCTGAGAAAATACTCTTTTTTATGTGAGATGTTCCATTGCCATGTTTGATTACCGGATGGTATTTTTTTTGTGAACAGGAATACGTAACTAGGTACCTCTAACCAACAAACCTGGAGAAGTGACTGACAAGAATGGATTTTTTCGTCACCATCCAATATGGGTTTGGGTCACATTTTTTTGTCGCCCATTTGAGCCACAAATGAGCCTGTCATCTTAGGATATATATATATATATTATAACCGTTATTAATCATTACTAACCATCATTAACCATCATCAACCATTATAATATATATATATATGTTGAAACTTTCCAATTTTGGCGGTATCCAATGTTGAGCGATACCCATCGAATTCAACCCTCATTGGTTTGTGTTGTGCTGTGTGATCTTTGGTTGCAGTCACCAATTTACCTGCCTGCAAACTAACATAGATGTGGCATTCACCATATTCAACAGGTAATCATCATCTATGTTGGTTTACCCCCGGCTAGTCGAGGACAACAAAAATGCCAACCCCCTGGACTCATCCCTCACCCTGCCCCGACCTCATCAAAGTCTCCCATCTTGGTGAGACCAGAGCAATGATTGATCCAGGCCAAGCCCTGCCGGCCATGGGCCAATGTCAAGGCCGGATGAATGCGACAGCTGTTGAGCTGTTGGGCTGTTGATCAGGGGACTGTTCCAGTAGCTTAGTCGAACTTTTCTGCTAGACTGCTAGACACCCCCAATCAATCAACCAGGGTCCATTGATCAAGGAAGCGGAAACCTGACCCTGGCCCGAATAGATGGCATCCCAAAAACACTGGCAGTGATCCAGGCTTTCATTTGAGGCCTCAAAACGCTTGGCCAAAAACCAGCACAGTACGGATGCCCTGTTGAACCCCGGCGGCCTCTCCCTTCTTGTCATTCAACCCCTCATAGATCCGGATGGCCCGCTTTGTGTCCTGCGCACTGGCTGATACTGGCTGAAGGCAACCGGGATGGCTCCATCCATAGGTCTTACCCCCAGGACAAGAATGAAGATGGCTTCAACACTAGGCACTCCAAATGCTTGATGCTTAAGGCATCTTAAGGCCAGTGATCCTCTGGCTGAAAGATCTTGAAATAGTTCCCATAGTCAGCTTAGTCCGAATGTCCAGGGCGGTACAAGGTCTTTCGATCTGCGTCCAGCCTTCCAAATGCAAGCTATAGTACAGCTGCAAAGCCCAATGACAACAATTCAACAACCTAAAATGTGGCGAGTCTTGGGAGGTTCCTTTTACTATATCCATCATCTCATGGTGACCCCATGGTGAACGGCTCACCAATCTGCACCTCCAGTGCTTGTTGCGGATGTTCTAAGCATAGGTGCGCCATGACCATGGTACTCAGCGTCGTAGCCTCAGAATCGGTAGATAGCTAATCCGAACAAATTGTGGTGATTTATAGTGATTTAATGGGATTTATGGTGATTTAATGGGATTTATGGTGATCTAATGGTGATTTAGATGACAAATTGTGGTGATTTATAGTGACTCAATGGGGGTTTTTCAGGGGTGGTACAATCAACAAATGGAGATTCTGGATAAATGTCCTAAGAAGTCACGAACCTGAAATGTTGGGCCATTTTGGGATAGTTATGTACCCGAATCCTCATCATTCGATGTCGCAAACCTGACGTCGTCATCGTTGATCCAAATTAACGGACGTGATTCATAGACTTTGTGGATGTTTCCGAAAATTCTAGTACCCCAAAACCAATGGTTTCCCCGATAAAGATGACCCGGTTTTGAAGAGACTTGGGAGTGCCTGCCACATTACTTAAGAACCCCATATGGGCATTGCCAGGTACCAACATGGCTAGGGGTTAAGTCATTGGGTGTAGACCATTTTAGACCCATAAAAAAAGAGGACCCCTCCAGTTGTACGTTGGGGAAAATCAGCTCATCCAACTGCAGAGATATCTACCATGTTTCCCAGTTATCTGAGCTATTGAACCAACTCCATCATAAAAATCAACTATGAATCCCCCAATGTTCACTGGTACAATCCCCATGGCTGCTCCGCCAATGTCTACCCCATCCCTGCATCAAAGAGGCCATTTCGACCTGGCAGTCCATCTTCTCAAAGAGATAGAAGGCGTTCTTGGCATGCTGCAACCTGGGGCGTCTTGGCGGCAGAACTGGAACGACTGCGGGAATGAACCATCGAAAGGTCAGATGTGAATACCGTGAAAACCCATCAAAAGGTCAGCTTTTTCTATATATATATATATTTGAAAAGTATTTTTTTTGCATGGAAACGAGATTCATCTGGATAGGCCGACTGGGGAATGGCTTTCAGGGTCATTTTCATGGAAAAGCGCGTGAACTATAGAAAAGCGCGGTTGCTACTTGGATGTTCATCCCATCCCCAGTAATGAATGGGATAACACAGTAAGCCACAACCAGTAGAGGCATCCAGTTGGGCGATGAGTAGTTCTACAAGGATACGGGTGAAAACCGGGTGGGGATCCATTTTACTTTCAAACGTGACCCAACCATTGGGGAGATAATTTTCCTTCCTCCTATGGTTGGCTTTATTGTGGCTGTTCCAATTTAGCGAATTCTCGCCACTTTCTTGCTTCACCAAAAAATCCATCAGCCAGGTTTTAGCCTCATCAGCAGTTGACATTCACCATCTATATACAGCTACTTTGGTAAACCTAAGGATTGACCCCATTTTGAGTCATTTTGTGGGTATGGTCTACAAGACATCCACATTTGAAAAAAATGGTGAATCGGGGACAATGTATGGCATCGGGCTTGCTGCAAGGAACACACACATAACGAAAAATTAACAATCAACCGTTGCGTGTATGTGATCAACTTTAGCGGTTCCTATATAATGTTGTTTCCCCATACATTGCCATAAATTCGAGGTTCTCAACTTGTTTGCCTGTTTTTTGGGTGGGGTGTGATACATGTTTATTACCCAACTATTATGGATAGGCAACCCTTCACCAACTACCCATGAACCAACTACTCCAAGTAGCGCATCGTCGTACTTCTGCCCCTGAAGGTAAAAATTTGCTTGCTCTGCAGTCATGGTGGCCTCAGCCGGGGGAGCTTAGGGGCAGCCACCATGGAAAATGGTAGAATATGGTAGAATGGTAGGAAAATGAAGAGTTTTTTTAACATGATCAATTGGGACGTGATATAGAAAAGAAATGGACTGAAAATGGGATGCACCCCATGGAAAATGATGATGAACCGATGGATATGGGGGGGACTCTATTTTCAGACAAATTCATTTTGGGATTTTTCAGGGATGCTGAAACCGATCTACTTTGGAAAACATCAATCAAATTCGTGTGATGCATTCCTTTCTCTACTAGTAGTGGGTGAGAAGGCAGGCTTCGGACTTGCAAAATTTCACCCCCTGCCACTAAATCCTTGGTTGGATTACTTTGCAAGGATCCATCTTGTTGCAGTAGCACGTGGTCCTTTTTAGACAAGCTATCTCCCAGTTGATCAGCCAGGACGAATCCAAAGGCATGGTCGATAGAATCACCACAATCACCAATCTTGTCATAAGTAGGGTACTGATGGGTACTGTAACAAGAATTGATGGACAATCACCATCCCTATTAGAATTGTCACTAAAATTGATAGAAATTGAGGTATCCAGTAGACCCAATGATTTCGAAGAGCGCACCTCGTACTTTCTGAACTGCCGATCCTGGAGATCAGACACCATGGGACGAGCTGATCATCCCCAGATGCTTTGCCATGGGCTCAATGAATCCACTTGTCCCATGATTTCGAAAAAAAGTGGCTCAATGAATCGCTTAAACTCGACACATATCAGATTATCAATCCCAAAGCAACATCAGAAACATATCAACCCCCAACATCCCAACATCCAACCAAAAAAATGAAGACTTTCGAATGTGCTATATTTCCCAACATAAACATCAATTTAAGTCCATCAACATAAACAGTTACCAGCTTTGGCCCCATCATCTCAACCCATCCCAACCAATTATTTGAATCCACGAAAAAAAAATGGATAAAATATACAACAAAATCCGTCTTCCCCCAACCATACTCCAAACAACCCAACATCCCATCCAATCCGAGAGTGATTTATTCACCAGCTATCACGAACTAAATCCGCCAGCCTATCCCCATCCCAACATCTCAGAGATGATCTCTTCCCATCCCATCCCAACATCTAAGATACGAATAAGAAAACAATATCCCCCCAACATCTAAGATATGACAATAAGATCTATGATCTTCCCAACGTCTACAGTATGTTCATACATTATTTCAGTACATCAATATTATGGATACATCCCATCATATGATCATCCCATCAAGAAAAATGATTCCCAGCATCTCTGATATTAACAAGATATATGGCAGTGTGTCAAAACCTTGTACCCCTGGTGAACATCAAAATAGCTGGTAAATGGATGTTAATCCCACTAAAAATGGTATTAATAGGTATTGATCCATACCCATATATATATATAATTATATATATATATATAATTTTATTTGTATATATATATATAAGATCTTCCCATCCCCCATCCCAACATCTAGGATATGAATGAGATATTCTGGTTGGTAGTATACCTACCCCTCTGAAAAATATGAGTTCGTCAGTTGGGATGATGACATGCCCAAGATATGGAAAGTCATAATCCATTCATGTTCCAAACCACCAACCAGCCATTCATATTCCATTACCAGAGGGTTAATCACCATAAAATCACCATTAAATCACCATGAAATCACCATTACCAGCCATTAAACATCATTAATATCCCCATGGTTGTTGGTTATATCCCTATTAAATCACCATTAATATCACCATCCCACCAATCAAGTATTGTACCATAGATTATTATAGATTACTAACCATTATTAACCATTATTCATCACCAGTACGATATTTCCAATCTTACCCTCTGGTAATTTAATATAACTATTGAAAATGGCCATTTCTAGTGGATTTTCCCATTAAAAATGGGTGGATCTTTCCATAGCTATTTTGACATAACCAGAGGGTATCTCCACCATCCCAGGCTCCCAGAGCTCGCCGTCCTTCATTTTGGTCTCCTTGCCCTTTTTCACGGCCTCCTTCAGCAGCTCCGCAGCCTGCACGGCATCACCCTCCGCCATGACCACCTCCGCGGTGGCGTCCAGCGCGCCGCAGATGCCCACCATGTCCTCGGCCTCTTTGAACAACGCCATGCGCCGGTTCACCTTGGAAAAAACCACGCGAAAAGTTGGGAAAAGCTGGGAAGCCATGTTAAAATGTGGGTGAGAAAGCAAAAACTCTAGGGAAAAATCTTCATCCAAAGAATCACAGGCCAGCACGCATGGGGGTCTGACACCCTCTCAAAAAAAAAAAAGTGCCCAATTTACCAACTCCAAAGAATGCAAAAAGAAAACACATATTCTCTAAAGAATTGAAAAGTCCGGGTTCGCATCGGGCAGGTCACCCTCCCCCTTAACACCCTTGCACTTGCTGGCTTTCATAAAGTGTTTGCGCTGTGATTGTGCCGCGCGCCTCTAAAGTGGGGGTTTATCAATAAATACGGTTCACTTGTTGCCTCTTTGTTAACTTGTTTTCTTTGCTGGTTGTTGGGAATACTCTCTTTGGGTTTTTGTTTTGTGCCGCCAGGCGCTGCTCCAGTCAATGGCGTGGTAAGAACCTAAACCTTTCATTTTTAACGTCAACCAAACTCTTGCTGACAGGTGGCAACTGCGGTATACAATACAGTATAAGGCATGCAAACCTACAATACTTCTAACTAAACGCCCAAACCTTGCAGTGTCCGGAAGGATGTAGCACTAGCAAGAACGCCGGAAGGAATAATTACCATCATCATCATCATCATCATCATCATAAAGATCAAGTGTATGCTTGAAGCGGTCAAGAAAAGGAATCTTCAATAGATATTGGCTCACCAGCGAACAAGATGGACCTGGTCGCCCATCCGAAGTTTTTACTTAGACTCTTGCGGAACAAGAAGAGATCACAAACCATCGGAGCCAAGGTGTTGGGCATGGGTTAAGTCATTGGGGTTTCAAGCAGGACTTGTATGGCGGGGATAAAATTCACCAAGTTTCAGATGGCCCTAAATTGGACTTTTGAAACCAAAAATGGCAAGAAAGTGATGGGTGGAAAGCTTTGGATTTTGGTGAAACTTCAGAATTTCGCTCGCAGGAGAGAATATGTACCCATGTATCGTAGCCTTAGGCAAAAATGGAGCAAAACTAAATTTCGAGGACACGATTGGATGAATATGTGACATGCACTTTGGTAAGATTGACCCAATCATTTGGGAAAATAAGCGAATTCAGTGATAATAGTGGGCTGACAAGGCTGACACCATTTTCACAAGGGTTGAACTTGCACTGCGACAGTGACCAGCTAAGGAACAAATTAAAGATTCAGCAGCCCACAGACTCGCTGGTCATCTTTTGGTTACAAATGCCTATCCATCCAATTCCCTGAGCATCACTTACCAATAGTTTACCTCACTCACTCCAATTCTCACCCAAAATCTTCGAAAACCCATGAAAATGGAGATTCAACTATCCTCACCCGAAGAGAAAAACTCTACCTCATCTACCACCATACCCCCAACTCATGCGCACACCAGAACTGAAATCTGCCGAGGAACCAGTTTTCGCGCCTCTTTAACTTTCTTGCCACGCAGTAAAGCCTTCGGGGTATGCAGGAAAAAATGGTGCCTTAACTGCTCAAGCCACTCAACCATCAATACATCCGCCGACCCCTGCCCAGCAAGTGCACGGCATTGCTGCACGTAAGCCTTGCCATTTACTTTGCTTCTCTTCGGCCTTCCAAGGCCTCCCTCCCCACCCCCCCCACCTTCTCAAGGTTTCCTTCGGTTTTACTGGGGCCTCCTTGCCCTACCTTCTCAAGCCTTCCAAGGTGCAGTTTTCATTCTACTGGGGCCAGCTGGCCTCACCTTCTCAAGACTTTTAAGCTGCTGGGTCATCATGGGTTTCGAAACTGCTGATTGGCACTTTTGGTTCTACTGGGCCAATTGGCCCGACCTTCTGAGGGGCCTTCCACGGCGCACTTTTCGTTCTACTAGGGCCCTGCAGTTTTCGTTCTACTGGGGACCTGGCCCCGGACAACACCGATGGGGCCCACGAAACATGGTGATCTTTGCTGCGGGGACTGGTTTGATAAGGGTGAATAAGGAATATTCATGCTTAATATACTGGTTATGAATAGTCAATTAGTGTTATTAGTGGGTTAAACCAACGTTTGTCGTGATGTAATGGTAATATAGAAGCAAATTAATCAAATAATGGCGTTCATAATAGCCAGTAATAATAAGCATTGTTTATTGACGGCTATTGATCATGGTTCTTCATGGGTAGTGGGATGTATTGGGTTAAAAGGAACATCTTGACCGAAAACATCCAGAAACCACAGTTTGCCCACTGTAGTCAAGTAGAGTCAATTCATGTCAATTCTACTTCCAAAAGGTTGAAATATCAAAATCAACTGAAATCCGCAGCCCTTTTTGACCCTTTGCCCCCCCTCAAAAAATGGGTCGGCGGGCGGCACCAGGGCGTTAGCCCATTTATTGCAGATTTGATGGGATACATCATCAACACGATGGCGGTCCAAAATTGTGGTACACGAAATTGGCTATTGTTCATCGGGAAAATGAGGTTTTCAACGTGATCCATTGGCTTTTTGGAGAGATTTTGGGGGGGGAGCTTCTAGTAGGACATTTGGATCCACGCTAACTGGGGGATTTGGAGATGATCATAGCGAAGCTAATGATCTCTGCTCCTTCACCAAAAACCCGCCTTGACCAAGGTTCGGAGGGTCACACCCTGCCAGATGGAGAGTTTGAGACCTGCCGTGACCCGCGCTGTTTCTCTGGTGGACTTTGCTCCAGAAAAATGTCTGAAAAATGGGGGGGGTATTTCCAAAGGGAATGGTTTAGGACTCCACATGACGAGCCACATGACCAGAATCGGTGCGTTCTCCAGGTTTTGAATCTTTATCGATTTTGACCCATGCTAATGTCAGTTCAAATGAATCGGATCCAGGTCCACAAAGGGGTGAAAAAAGATATTGCATCCAAAACCTATTTAAGAAAAAAAAACACCCTGGAAATTGTTGCGTTCTTTCCAGCCCCTTCTTTCCTCACGCTAACTCCACAAAATGGCTCCATCATACTTGGGGGTGCAGTTCCAGTGAACTAAGCAAATATGTTTCACCACAGTGGGCTTATATGTAGAGATATGTATACATACATACATACATACATACATACATACATACATATATACATAGATAGATACATACATACATACATACATTACATACATACATACATACATACATACTTACATACATACTTACATACATACATACATACATTACATACATTACATACATTACATACATTACATACATTACATACATTACATACATTACATACATTACATACATTACATACATTACATACATTACATACATTACATACATTACATACTTTACATACTTTACATACATTACATACATTACATACTTTACATACATTACATACTTTACATACATTACATACATTACATACATTACATACATTACATACATTACATACATTACATACATTACATACATTACATACATTACATACATTCCATACATTACATACATTACATACATTACATACATTACATACATTACATACATTACATACATTACATACATTACATACATTACATACATTACATACATTACATACATTACATACATTACATACAATACATACATTACATACATTACATACATTACATACATTACATACATTACATACATACCATACATACCATACATACCATACATACCATACATACCATACATACCATACATACCATACATACCATACATACCATACATACATACCATACATCCATACCATACATACATACCATACATACCATACATACCATACATACCATACATACCATACATACCATACATACCATACATACCATACATACCATACATACATACATACATACATACATTACATACATACCATACATACATACATACATACATACATACATACATACATACATACATACATACATACATACATACATAACATACATAACATACATAACATACATTACATACATTACATACATACATACATACATACATACATACATACATACGTACATACATACATACATACATAACATAACTAACATAACTAACATAACTAACATAACTAACATAACTAACATACATACATACATACATAACACACATAACATACATACATAACATACATACATAACATACATACATAACATACATACATAACATACATACATAACATACATACATAACATACATACATAACATACATACATACATACATACATTACATTACATTACATTACATTACGTTACGTTACGTTACGTTACGTTACGTTACATTACATTACATACATACATACATATATATATATATACATACATATGTATATTAGATATAGATATAGATATAGATATAGAGTGTCCCAACTTTTGGATGTTTTTTCTCAGCGTGACAAAAATTCGACCCATCAATTGATGTCCCAGTCCATGGCTCTTGGCGCCTATGAAGATCTTGAGTGCCTCTTCCCCGCTCTTGCGACCTTCCTTGTATTGACCCAGTTGCAACTGCAGCCGCGCCAGGAATTCTAACTCTAACGCCTCCTGGTGTTCACGAAGTGTCAGCGTTCTGAGAGATATTACATATTACCCTCTGGTAAACTAACATAACTATGGAAAATCACCATTTTTAATGGGTAAATCAACTATAAATGGGCCATTTTCAATAGCAAACTGTTAGTTTACCAGAGGGTTTCTGCGGATATGAAGCAACAATGGTGATATCAACCAGCCATCATCGGCTGGTTGTTTCAAGCTATATATCCAGTAAATATTAGCCCTTTGAGGTCAATTCAATTGTGCCACAAGGGACGAAAATGCAAAAGGATTTTACACATCAAACAGAGTGCCTCAGAAAAAGAGGAACAATAATCCCACATTGGCAGACTGGATCGTCATAACATGACCCAACAGTGTACGGGGACATGTGACAACAGTATCGATGATTCCATCCCCAAATGACCAAGATGATCCATGATTGGTATGCCCTTGCTTCGATCACCTATGCCATTAAGATAACAATTAGACCCACTACCCTCTGGGAATTTAACACAGCGAAAATGGTTGATTCATAGATTCTATAGATGGTTCACCTGTCAAAAATAGTGATTTTCCATAGCTATCTTGGTTTGAAAACAGGGTGCCACCCTGAAAGTATTGGTTAATCACCATCAATGACCATTTTATGGGTACATCCTATCTTCAGACAAGCCCATGTATTCCATTAATATAACAATTCGATCCCCCCTTTCCCTCTGGTTTGTGAAAAATGTTGACCAAATATACTATTTTCTAATTGACCACTAATGTGCTATATAAATATAGCATTATTCTACCATTCAAGTAACATCAATATACCATGAATATAATATACCATTTAATATACCATTAGACCATTTCATATACGTAACATTAATAGTTATAACATTTAATACATCAGTAACAATTATACCACTTTAATATATATATATATACCTGTATACCATGAAAAATTATACCTATATGCCATTTAATCATGTCAACCCCGGATTTTGCTAAACCGTGGTTTATTAAACCATGGGGGGTACTCCTCCAATAGTTGGGTTTATTAATCCAGGGTTGACATTACACCATTTAAATATGGGTATGTCTGAAAATGGGGTATACCCCCAATTATAGCCATTTAGTAGGGATAATGATCAGCAAAACCATTGGGTGTAGGGGTACACGATTTTCAGACAAACCCATATCATAATATCATATGGCAGTGTGTCAAAACCTTGTACCCCTGGTGAACATCAAAATAGCTGGTAAATGGGTGTTCATCCCCCTAAAAATGGTATGTATAGGTATTGACCCATACCCAAATATCATATGCCACGACATGCTCGAAAAAACACCACCGTCCTCCATGCGGTAGCCTAGCTCTTGCCAGATGGCTGCCGCCTCGCGTGCCCGGCTCACGGAGCTACGAAAGTCCTGGCGTCTGAGGGGAAAAACGTCTGAGGGATGTCAGAAAGTTGGGATTTTTATGGGAACTGAATGGAATTGATGCTGAAATTCTGCGGATTTATCAGGGGATTTATGGGAATTTATGCTGATATTCCCAATTTTTTTTGGGATATCATTGGAATTGATACGAATTTAATAAGAATACTAGCAACAAACTGAGATTTTAAAATCATTTTGCTGGTGGTTGAGCCTCCTGGAAAAAATAACCCGCGAGAGAATGAGTTGGGATATGATGATCCTTGAAGATCAATGTTCGAAACCACCAAGCACTATGGGGAGTTTCTAGAAAAAAATTGGGAGAAACTGCCCAGAAAAAAACATGGTGATTTAAAAAATCACCCTAGGAATAGTCCATCTCTAAGCAGGTTGTCGAGTTCTTGAACACTTCGCTACCGTCAAATTGTGAGGATTGGCGACTGAACGACAGGGTTTCTCAGTATTTGCTGAGTCCCCAAGCTGGACATGTCCATTTTTTGGCGAAGTTACCTACCTTTTCTCATCAGGTTCTCCTATGTTACTTAGTAAGGTTTCATAGCTGGTTTCCATCCCACTACATCCCAATCCAAGAAGAAATTCGCAACTGGAATCGCATTATTTCTCAGTTCCACAAATCCATTTGTCATCCAGTTTTGGATCAAATTTGGTGTACCCAAAAATCCATGTTCTATACCACAAAATCGCCCAATATGGTTGTTTCTTGGATTCTTAATCTCCACTTACCTCCCGATTTGGTTTTGACAGCGACCCCAAAATCACATGGTTCACCATGATTTTTCCCATTAAAATGGCCACAACTTGATGTGTTCCCCACCATCAATCCAAATTGGTCCCAGTTAAGTCCCCATTTTTCATGGTAAAACCACCATTTCTGATTGTTTTCTACCTTTCATTTTACAATTGCCAACCCCCAACCCCACCCCAGTCCTATTTGAATGTGCATCCCAGGAATTGTAAGCAATTGCTAGTTCATAAACCGTAGAAACAACTAATATGTAACCCATATACACATTGATTTGATATCAATCTATATTCGTATGTTTATATGTACGTATATATGTACATATGTATATATGTATGTATATATATATACAGATGTGTGTATGTATGTATGTATGTATGTATGTATGTATGTATGTATGTATGTATGTATATACATATATACATATATACATATATACATATATACATAAATACATATATATATATATATATAAACCAGTTTCCTGCACAAGCACTCCTATTTCATCTGCGCTCTTGCTTTGTTGCAAGTTTGACATCAAACCAGCTTCCTGCACAAGCGCTCCTTTTTCATCTGCGATGTGAGGGTTGTCCATCGCCAGCAGTCCATTGTTCATTGCACCAAAAGCTGGTGTTTCTGCCATATTTTCCCCGCGCCTCTCCATGCTCCTTGGTGTCTGCTGTTTGGAAGTGTCTCAGCCATGTAGTGGGAGGTATGGCTGCATTCAAAAAGAGGAGAGCTTGATCCAGAACTTGGGGGAAAACTGAAGCTAGTTGCTGAATACGTAACTTCGCGTCTTGGGGCAAATGTTCAGTTAAGGTTGTGTACATCACTTCCTAAATGTAGATATCCATCACTTTTGGACTTGCCCAACGAACACGTCTCCGCACGTTTTCTGGTGACTCGCTTTCTAAAAGGAGAAGAGTTGCACCACCTGGCCTGAGTGAGGCTAGGTCAAAAGGCCTCTTCCCATCCACCTTCGTAGTTGGCAAACCAAGCGCCGCCAGGAGGTCAGCAAAATGCCGTCCCAGGGTTGCGGCAGAAAAAGTCCACAACTTCTGGCTCCGTGGCATGCGTCCAAAAACTGCTTCAAGGAGGGATATGAGATCAGGCGGATCTACCCTTGCAGCCTGATGTCTGGCCGCCCTCCCCCGAGTTTTCCGGGCATTTTTACGGAGCAGGGCAAAACGTACTCCTGGAGCTGCGTCGCTTGGTAAAATCAGGTCGTCGCGTAGTGCAGCAAGGACCTCTCCGAAAGATTCCAGCCAATGCTAACCCAAATAAAAAGGCCTCAACTGGCCAGCCCCACATCAACCCCAACTCCGCTGAAATTTTCGGGAGCGCCTCCAACATGCTTCCCATGTCCTGTGCCAAAGTGGCAATTGTTGGCCTCTTTGCCTTTACCTTTGCACCACCTCCTGTAGGAGTAGCCCCTCGTAGCGCAGATCTTCGCCTGCGCGCAGGAGCTTTGGACGAGGCGATCCATCCACCTCTGCATCCGCCTCCTCTGGTGTGTAGAAGTCTGCTCATTCGTCTGTGGACTGCGCATCGCCGAATGAGAGGCAGCAATGCATCTATTGCTGGAAAAGAAAATGGGCTCTCTTCGTCGAAGCCATAAACGACTTCTTCGTCCTCTGCAAACAGTCTCAGATAGTTCAAAATCTCGGCTGTGCAGTCCACCACCAAAACATCTACTATGTAAACGCCCTGTCTGTGACAAAATTCCACCCTCCTCCAACAAAGATGCCACCGTGAAAATTTTGTGAGGTTCAAAAATTGACTCCTCTGATCCCAGCGCACCTTCTGCTAGAACTGAGTCTGGAAGAAACCCAATTGGCACGCCTAGAAGCACACCCGCTTCTCTCCTCATAAGTGCCAACACAATACATTCTGCAAGCTCTTCTGCCGCTGGATCGAGCGACCATGACAGCACTTCACACTGTCCACCTCCAAGGTGAGAACGCCATCCATGGTGTCCATACTCTCCATCTTTTCTATGCCACTGTGTCAAACTCTGCAACCCCTGCACCTGAGAGATAGGTCTTTGCCTCCAGCTCTGAAGGGAAGGAATGTGACACCGAATTGCTACTCTCGAGATCTCCCATGATCTGCCAGTAGGCACCGGCACTGGTGCAAAGCACTGGGCGCTCAACTGCTTCGGCCCGCAGGATGGCGTAGTAGCGGGGGCGTAGATCAATTTGTGGAAACCTGTTAGGGCTGCGCACGCGACCAGAAAGCACAGCGCTTGACCCTTTTTTGGTTAGAGGTGGCTGAACCTGGGCAGGCAGAGAAGGTGCTCTCGATCTGTGACCTCGTCTCCAAAGTCCTAGGCAAAGGAAGCTGAGGGCTGTCAGGAGGCTGGAAGAGACCAGATCAAAGGAACCAAGGCTAGCAGCAGGAGAATCAGCACGTTGGTAGCTCCCCAATGCACTTTGCTCAGAAACTGAGTGGCTTTCTCGGCCGGTCCCTGATGGAGATTTTAAGGTCTCCCACCTGGCTAGTGAGCTCAATGTGGCCTTCGTCGTTGGGCCTGAACTCATCCAAATACCCGGCAAGTGCCGAGTATCGTGAACCTGATGATGGAGATGGCCGCACGGAAGATGGCTCAGAAGATGAGGCTTGAAGGGAAGTCCAGAAAGTCCAAAGGAGAAGGAGGCAGGCAAAAATTCCAAGTAGCCCCCCGAGGACAAAAGCCAGCAAGATTGCTGACAGGGTCGGCTGGGTGCAGTATGCCGGGCAACCCAAGCCGCAAAAGTTTGTCCGACACCTTCGACCAACAAGGGGACAAACCTGGATGCCGCCTCGAGCATGAAGGAACTTGAGAACGCTCTTGCTTTGTTGCAAGTGTGACATCAAACTAGCTTCCTGCACAAGCGCTCCTTTTTCATCTGCAATGTGAGGGTTGTCTATTGCCAGCAGTCCATTGGTCATTGGACCAAAAGGTTGTGTTTCTGCCATACTTTCCCCGCGCCTCTCCATGCTCCTTGGTGTCTGCTGTTTGGAAGAGTCTCAGCCATATATATATATATTATATATATATATACATATATATATATATATACATATCCGTTCTTTTCCGCAGCTACAAATGTGATCTATCCCCACTGGCCCCCTCCTCCAGGCGTCCACAGGCGGAGGCCAAGCCGTGCAAGGCTCTTGCCTCGCCGCTGCGCGCCAGCGCCGACAGCTCCGGCGCCGCGTCCGAAGCTTCGGACGGCGCGAAGAGCTCCAGGGCCAGCTTCAGGGCCTTGATGGACCTGGCTTGAGAAAAGCCATGGGTGGTTAACAATCAATCTCTAGATTGTATATGTTGTATATATAATTGTGTATATAGAATATAGATTGATGTGTATATATATATATACAAATCTCTGTGTGTGTGTGTTTGGTACTCAAGGTTCTATCAGCATCAATAAAAAAAAGTGGTTTGCCCCGCAAAAATATTTATGGGTGTACTGATGGGACAAGTAGAGGTTTGCTGGAGTTGTAATTCCGAGTTTTCAGATTGATCTGTAGTACTAGATTAATATATGATATCTATTTGGATATACATCATGGTAAATTATAATAATTCACTAACCTGAAATAAGGCCATTTAGGGATGATTTCCCTTGTTTGCTATGATTCCAGTGAGGTCGCAGTGAGGTCGTTATAATTTACCCAGATACATGTATACACTAATGCGTGTTTTTTCATGGGTTTTTTTTCTATTGGGGTTTTTCATGGGTATCGATGGGCCTGGCGATTCAGGATCTTCTTGTCCAAAGATGAGTCGGGTTGAGCATCAGAAAAGGAATTCCACTCGAAAATTCTTGGGAATCAATGGGATATACTGGGATATGTAACCACTAATATCATTAATACATACAAATATCATATGTGTGCTTGAAAATGTGGGAACCCCCCCCATTTGCGGCCATTTCATTGGGAATAAAATTACCATAGATTTGGGATAGCTATGGATAGCTCATTTTCAGACAGACCCATATCTACTGGGATCCAACTTGAGTTTGTCATGGGATATGAAATTGGGATATGACAATTCATGGGAATCAGTGTTCAGGGAGCGTCCATGGATCCAACTTGATAAACCACGCAACGGAATGGGCACCATTTGGCAACTACCCCGTAAGGGCCAGACAGAAGTCCCATAGATAAAGTGGGGCTTGATCCCAAACCAGGGGATTATTCATAGCCAGTTCGGAGAGTTGCTTCCACAGAAACAACTCTGTGAAAAACTGGTGAAATCCATCATTCCATGAAAGAGCTTGTTTTGTTGCAATCCACGTTCTGGGTCCACAGAACTAGGCCCAAAGAAGCTGTTGTATCAATGGATTAGTTTAAGGAAGAATCTGGAGGAAACAAAGCAAATATAGGGGGATCCTGTGAATCTTCCTGCTGCTACCCAGCTGGTCTGTGCCTCTGGTAGTGTTTCCGCTGATGCGCCTCCCAAGCTGTGCATGGGCTGGGCATAAGTCGAAGCATGATGGGAAGCCAAGCATGGATGTAGCATACACAGCATATTTAACATTTGAGATAGAACATTATGTATACTGTATACATAACTGTTATTTTCTTGGGTTAGTAGGGTCTGTGAAATGTTATAACCAACGGCTTTTTGGGGATCTTACCATCTGTGCCCAGAGCCTCAACTTCCCAAGTCGGTCTGAAAATCATAGGGTACCATCAAAAATGTTTATTGTAACTGTTACCATTTTATAGGGACCATTGTGGTGTGTTTTAGGTATTCTCCAATGTTTGGACAAACCCAGATCGAGAAAAAAACACCTCTTTTTCCGCCTTCACACCCTTCTGGATCAGAGCTGATGCCATGGCTAAGTTCGCCTTAAGGCCGCGGCAGCGTCATGGTGGTTTTTGACGGTTTCCCCAAGGTTTAGAACAGCCTAATTTTTGTGGATGTGGGGATGATTTAGGGACCCCCCAGCTTTGAACAAAACCGTTTCCAAGTCAATTTGCCAGCCAAGTTGTTGTTCGAGCCGGAAAATAAACCAGTAAAAACTGCCAGCTGCACAGTTCAAAGGATACAGGTGCGAAAAGTTCCCAGACATTCGCTATCTCTGGGCTTATTCACTGGATCTGTGTTGACACAATGGGATCTCTGTGTCAACATCACCCAGCGCAAGATCCCAGGCGGAAATCACTGCCACCAACTGCCACCGGTGCGCGTATCCCTCCATGATCTTGTCGCCCAAATCCTTTTGGATAGCTATAGCCTCTTCTGCCCAGCTAACAGCCTTAGTGCTGCGACGCTGCTAAAAATGTGGCTGCGAAAAGCCAGTTACAAGTGCTACCCAATTTTTTTACCTGAACGTCAGCCCTACCCAAACAAGCCATGCAATGGTGTCAATTATGTGTATATACTACAATACCCTCTGGTAATTTAACATAGCTATGGAAAATCACCATGATTAATGGGAAAATCCACTATAAATGGTCATTTTCAATAGCTATGTTAGTCATTACCAGAGAGTAATATAATTCAGCGCCAGAATAATTTGAACACACTCATACCGAGGATTCAAGAATTGAATGTTTGCCAAGAATCATGGTTCGCATCCGAAAAGGTTCAGGCCCCAAATGTGGGAAATACCATGGGAAATACCGACCAAAAAAATATCCAAAAGATTCCAAAATCTCCAAGTCGCCTTTGTTCTCAACTCTCCACGACATCTGAAGGCGGCAGCCTCCGCTAAGGACTGCAAGACCAGAGCGCGACGGCGTTTCTCTGCATCGCTGTCAGGCGAAGTGAGCCCCAGCAAAGCCGCCTCACCTGGCATGAACATGGAATTTACCCTCTGGAAAATTAATATAGACCCTGAAAATAAGCCACTAATCTTCCAACCCCTATCTGCCGGGGTCTATGTTAATTTACTGGAGAAAAAGATTTAACCAACGGAATCATGGGGGTGTTCCTATGAAAAAATTAGGGATGTCAAGAATTGAGAATCGAAATTGAGGATGTCTGAAAATTGTGTAACCCCAAGTGGCCATTTAAGTACAGCTATTAGCCGCAGGATTTGGGCCATTGGGGCTACCAAACTTTCAGACAAATCCATCTGATGAGGCTGGTTGCATTCCGACCCAATGATCAATCAGTTGTTTTTTCATGTCTTGTGCATCAATATTGAATGATGTGTAATAGCAAAAAAAACAATGTGAAAGCCAAAAAAGATTCAATGCCAGATTCAATGCCAGCAAAAAAAATGCTTCTTTCGCTGCGAACCCTTCCATCCCAAGTCTGGCCACGTCCATCAACAGCTTTCCCCACATCATATCCCCGTGGCCTAGCTGAATGGCCTCTTGTCGTGACTCAACATCCGTCAATGCCACCTCGGTGCAGGAGAACGCCAAACAAAACTCCTTGAGAGTCCGGAGATGGCTCAGACTTTTGAAAGGTGTTTAATGGTGATTTTAATGGTGTTTAATGGTGTTTAATGGTGATTTTAAACACCATCTGATTGGATATGGCTCAGGATTTTGGTATCAATAATTGACTTTTGATATCAATTTGCATCAATGTTGGTTTTGAATTGCTTCAATTAGTCATAATTAGTCTATGCACAAAAAATATCAGGGTCCATCATCCCAAATTGTGGCACCCCAAATTGGATGGAGTCAGATCCTGCATCATACTTTATGTGGTAAACCATGGTAAACCGACCATGACCCTCCCATTTGGGGATGATTCATATAACCCATTCTGAAATCGGGGATTGTTTTCCGAGTTTCAGTCCAAAAATGTGCATCTCCATTTTCATAATGTGTTGAAACTGAGACCATCCCCAGTTTCATTTCGGGCCAGCCGACCCCGAAACGTCAAAAAAAACAGCGAGGCACCATCAAAACGCGGGTGGCATCGGATCTGCCTTCGGAAGTCTCCTGGAAGATGTCCTCAGTAGGGAGGTAAGTGGAGATTAAGAATCCCCAGAGATTGAAACCCAACAGGCACTGTTGGGAACAAGCCAATTGACAGAACAAAGATCACAAAGTGGATTTGGTTCATTAGATTTGCCACCAAAAAAAAAAGAAAACACTGTTTCAAATCTCTGATTGAAAGCCATCTGTGGGTTCATTGATGGCCCTATTGTGAAAAAAAACTAATTCATGCCTTCTATTGGTTCATTGAAAAGAGTTCCCATGTTGGGTTTTACGGTTTTACTGTAACCAACCCTTTGCAACCATGCACCAACATTATAATTTGAAGCTTAGATCAGATGAAATCAATCAACTATTTCAATCAACTATTACAGTAACCAACACCAAGAATTCAACTCCCTGCGGGTGATCACCTTTTGTATTCAGTGTTGAAGGCTTTAAAAGCTATCATCCCTTCCTTTTCGCATGTTCATAAACCATCAAAAAAAAAAACATCATTACTTAAGGAAACCCCGCCCGATTTCTCATGGGTTCTTCCTCCCAAAATATGATAGACACACTTGCTGTTGCGAGTAAAACTGAGGGTTTCTATTTTAAAAAAATGGTGGGTTCTCCCAAAACCTCCTAAATCTGATCAAGTTCACTATTGACATTGAAACCCATAATTTGGGGATCCCTCGTCTTCCTTTTTGAAATCCTGAACATCACCGTCATGCGTTTCCGAAACTCTGATTCTAGCTTCTTGTCTCCCCCCATGGTTTTTCGTAAATATGGATACAACAATAGCTCCGAAGCGCTCCCTCCATTCACTAGTGGACAAAAAAAATGTTGCCTATCATCAATCCAATCCCATTGTCATCCCAGGTTTCACTGTGAAAAATTAGCCTTGTGAAAATGGTTGAAATCTCAGTGGTATCCCATTTCTTGGTGCTGAAATCCCCATTTAAATAGTATATAATGTCAAGCCTGGATTAATAAACCCCGTTTACGGCTGTTTAGTTGGGAGGGTACCATTTAAGTATCATATTATGACTATTGGAGGAATACACCCCTAATTAATAAACCATGGTTTATCAATCCGGGGTTGACATTATCTATATATATATATACAATCACATTATTGTTGATGACTTCTCATCAAATCCCCGTTTTTGCCTAATTAAACCCCCTATGTTTCACCATTTTTGGAATTGTCCTAGTTAAATCCCATGTTTCCCCACGTTTCCAAGGTAAATCCCAAAATGTTTCCCTGTGTTTCCCAAGTTAATCCTTGTTTTTCCCATTGTTCCTAGTTAAACCACCATTCAACCACCATTTTTTCCTGGTGAATCCTTGTTTTTCCCTAGTTTAAACCACCATTTTATCGTCTTTCCCTAGGGGCTTCTCGCCGCGCCACACGGGCTTCTCGCGCCAGTTGCACGGCCGCCTCCCCGTGGTTCAGCGCGAACTCAGCAACCGCCTCGCTGAGGGCCACCGAAGCGTTGCGCAGCTCGGGGTCCTGGGGCTCGGAGCGTCCCATGGACCTTGGGGCCTATAATAATGATAGTATAATAATATAATAGTATAAAAGTTTAATAGTATACTTAACAGTATAATAGTATAAAAGTTTAATAGTATAATAGTATAATAGTATAGTATTTCTATTAGTATAGGACTATATTATACTATCCCATACCTATAGGACTAAATTAATGGGTTACTGGTAATAATAGTGATTGATAGTGCTTAATAGATGTTCATACAGCCATGACTATGATAATGGCTAAATAATGATAGTACTATAATATTTCCCGTGAGTCATATATTTACTATGGGTAAATATTAAACAGTATTAGTAATAATAAATAGATAGGAATAATATTAGTACTATATTATTAGTACAACTAGATAGTACGTGTAACAAAATGTAGATAATTACTAGTAAATAAATATTTTCTATTAGTACTATTATATCTAGTACATTAGGAAATATACCATGACTGTCATGATAGTAATAATATCTATTTATCTATTTAATGGGATCTTATTCTTATGTAATGATAGTATGTAATGATTACTACTATTGAGAATTCAACCAAGATGAAGGGAGTCTATGGGTATACTGGGACTAGTATCTATAGGAATAATAATTGATTATAATCTAATAAGAGTAATATGGATGATTCTTGTTATATTTATTAGTAGTGTGATAGTATTGGATTAAGAATAGTAATAATACTAATACTGTGTATTTCCAAGAGTGTAATATATGACATCTGGGTATTTATCACAATCCATTAATGGGAAATAGTAGTAGGACTATATGGGAATGGTATATAAAAATAATGGTATACTAAGATTACAATATGATAATGGGGACTATAGTTTTTCTGGATTACTTTGTGATTGTATGGGATTATATGGGTCTATTTTTAGTATATGGGAATTAAATTATAAATCACTGGTAGATATCTATTCGTAATACGGTAGATTATGATTATCCCATTGGAGAAGAATTTGATAATTGTTGATAATTTTATGAATATAACTACATAGGTAGACTAAGAATTTGGTGATAATTCTAATACTATATGTCATTTTGTTTGTCCAAAAAAATTGATAGTGGGACTTTTTGCAGGTAGACTAGGATTAATAGAAGCAATGGAATATAGTCATTGATTCTACAATACGGTACTCCCAATGGGTATAGCGAGACCATATGGGGATTCAACCAAGCCACCCCAGGTTGACATGGAAAAAATAAATCCTGGGTTGACATTCTGGATAGTACAGTACTAGTACCCGCAGCATGTGCGCTCACTCCACAGATACTTCACTATATACACTTTAATATGGTTTTTACAGGGTTTCTTTAGGGTCTCTTTAGGGTTCATTTAGGGTTTTTCTTAGGGTTTTCATAGATGGTTTTGAGGGTTCATGTAAAAAGTGGTTGAAAACAGCGACAGAAAGTCGATTTTCCGAGGATCAACCATCATCAAGAAACATCAAGGATACTGCGGGATTTAAGCAGATGGGGGTGTAGTTCCACTTAATTTATGTGGATATATGATATATGGTTATACATGTAGGGGGTATATTCCAACGGATCAGGGCCATTGCACCATGCTTATTAATCCAATAGCAATCCTAGACCCCCCAGTTGTATACCCATATATCTCAATGACAGTCCCCTTAGCATATGAATCAACCATCATTTTCAATCCATTTATCCAGACTCCAAACAAACATGCGGCACCTCTGGGTGCAGCTAAAGCAGTTTGGACTGACAGCATACGGGATGTAGTCTGAGGTGAATCTATCGAGAACCGATATACAAGGTATCTACATATATATGTACATATGTGCGTACTTTTCTCTGAATTATATGTGTGTATAGCAGCAGCGATAAACAAATAGCCATAAACCTCAATGCCTTTGCCGGTGCTTAGCTTCCAAGAACGGTTCAAGATCATCTCTAAATGGTTCTGGGTCGAGGCACCCTGGTACCCTGGGCCCTGGTGAACACCAAAATGGCTGAAAAATGGCTGAAAAATAGCTGTTCATCCCCCTCCAAATATTGTAGAATAGGCGTTGATCCATCGCCAAATTTTACACATGAGGTGGATAGGAAGATTCATCTAACATGCATCAAAAAAGGCCAACCAAAGCATGGAACCACCAGCCATCTCTCATGTTGCAGCGTAGGATCTGACTCATTTTGCGACAGGTCCCGATGTTTGGTACCTGTCAAATGGAGTTTGAAAAACACGGGTAAGATCTGTGCTGTTATATACATATCATACAGCAACATTTCGAGGATGGCACCCAATCCCCAAACTTGGTTGGTTTTCTGTGGTTTACTAGAAAGCACTGGGTCACTGGGTCACATGGAGCACCCAATGTTAGACATGTTTCATGCAACTAGAAAATTCTGTTACAGTACAGTGGGTCACCAATTTGTATTGTGTTATTCAGTTTCCAGAATCCATCATCGGCTGGTTCTTGGAGTGGATTTTGGTTATGTACTGCAAACTGGGTATGGTGGTGACCAATTGCACACCTCGCATTCAAATTCGCCATCTATGTTCGTTTGAAGAATGCCAAAATTGCGCTTGCAATCCCAATACAAACGCACATGTAAAAAATTCCAAAGTTTGACGGTTCCAGCATCTGATTTCAGTCGCCCACCGGGCCCACCGTCTCGCCTATTTGACTGATAGGCAACTGCAGAAGGATTCTCCCCGGCTCATAGCCACGGGAGATCCCGACCGGCATAGCGCCAGACAAACTAAGACGGGGAAAAAACCATGGATAATAATGGATAATCATGGGATAATCATGGGATAATAATATCATGAAATGTTTTCTTTGGTTGAAACTGGACGAAACCATCTGAACAATCGTTCTCAACCATCTGAGTCGCTTGCAGAGATTGCAAAGAAGACAACCATTGTCGAACTGAGAATAATAGGACTTGACAAAGCCGGATGTTGGATTGTGAAAATTTGGTGTTGAAAATGGTGTGGATGCGAGTATGGTATTTTTTTGGTGTGATAACTGCTGTCATGTTGATCCTTTTCGAATGCTCACCTTCCATTTTGGGGTTTGGATGTGATCAACATGTCTGCATTTCAAATGAAAAATCCTAGTTCACCCAGCTTTCCGAACCAACAGCAGGATAAACAACAAAAAGTTCTTTGTATTGTGTCGTTCCATTTTTTCAAAATATGCCCAAAGAATGGTTCCACATCTCAAAAAGAACCTCGCAACTTCAAATTTTGGACAATGACTTCGACATGGAGGTTGGAACGACCAAAGAATCGTTCTCAAAAAAAAATGGGTGACAAATAATAACACTTTGTGTGGTTTTGAAGGTATGTTATTTCTGTTGGCCCACCTGGTGATTTGAAATCATATCCCACTCCCCGGCTCATTAGTTCCCTACATGCTACCATTTTTTTTTTGAAATGGGCGTAGATAAAACGAAACAAATCAGCCCACCTTTGCTCTATAGTTTGACACAGGATTACTATTGTCGTCGTGGTCGTCGTGGTCGTCGTCGTCCTCCTCCTCCTCATCATCATCACCATCATCATGGTTTTCATTCTCATCATCATTTTCTTTGTAGCAGACAGTCCATGGAGCTCTGTTTTTTTCAGCCGAACAAAGCCCCCGAACAATTCAAAAACGCAAGATATCTACCATCAAATATGGGTAAAGACATCAAATATCTGCAAGAAAACTCGGAGAAACAATCCTTCAAACAATCCTTCGGATTTTTTTGTCCAGTTCACAATACGGTTTCCTGTGTATACTTAACATGTTAGCATATGAACTCAAGCGCTGCCGCAATGTTCAAACGCTGTTTTATGCGTGATGCATTTGATCTGATTCATAACTGTACGTCTTGGATAAAGACCCAACGGGTCCTAGTTATTTACAGACACAGTACAGATCAAACAAGTACCCCAACACAGCCAAGATATACAAAGCTAGAAGGCCAAGGTTGCAAACTGGTTGATTGAAAGAAGTGGGGAGTTCTACAGCACCATCTCCAGAACCACAGAACGGTGGAGCATAGGGGATGGTGGTGGGAACACAGAAACGAGGTGGAAGCTTGAAGCAAAACCGGCCACGGACCAGTAATAATTTCCGGGCCCTACATGTGAACAATTATGTACAAGCACATGACACGTTCACAATACGGTTTCCTTTGCTTCAATTTCCATATGTATACATAACATGTTAGCATATGAACTCAAGTGCTGCCGCAATGCTCAAGCGTTTTTTTATGCGTGGTGCATTTGATATGATTCCTGATTGTACAACTTGGATAAAGAACCAGCGGGCCCTAATTATATATAGACACAGTACAGATCAAACAAGTGCCCCAACACAACCAAGAACTACAAACCCAGAAGGCGGGGGTTGCAAATGGCACCAAAAACAAAATCGAAAATCGACCAGCCGGAAGCCGGACTACAAACTCCCCCAAGACGAAAATCGATTTAGATACACCAATTAGCGGACTGCAGCAACACGTTTTTTCTAGTTCAATGCCAAAATGTTTGGGCCGCTTTCGGCCAGTCTGTGCGATTTGGACTAAAGACGACGCAAGAGTTGACTTCACAAAAATCTCTGGCAGTGAGCTCAACAGGTAATGGCTGCTTGGATCGACTCAACGAGTCTGCAAGGACACAGAGATGCCCAGGGATATGCGACACGCTTGGAAAAAGTTGGGAAAAATCTGAGAACGCCAAAAGTGAAGAAATTGGGACACGACAACGAGGTAGGCGAGATTCAATGCAGAATGTGAGTTGCGCAAGGTGTTCGCATGCCGCTCTGTGCTTCTGCATGTCATCGCAAACCCAGTCCTACATGTCATGTCTCGGGCTTCGGAGAGCGTGATCTGAAATTGGTGCCATACTGCAGACGCGTCTGGAAAGAAAGCGGGGGCACCCCCAAAAGCCTGCCAGCTCTTGTTGATGCCATAGCGTCTGCTGTAGCTGTCACTGCAATGTAGTCAGCTGGTGTCATAGACAGGGTGAAAGGTGTGGAGACCAACAACTGGGACCTTCAAAACCACAAGACCATCAGGATCCAATACACAATGCGGCGACGATGGATCTGTGGTTCCAACCCAAACCCGTCGTGATTTGAGTGTAGCTTGTTCACATCGTGCAGAGTGTTCATGAGCATAAACGACCTGGCGAGAGCCATCTGGCGTTGGACGGAAAAAAAGTAGAGAGTGTTCACATGAGAGTTGGCAACTCTCACTAAGGACGTGTTGAAGTAGTGATTGGTGCTTGTGGGTCAAATCCTGGTCAGCTGCGGTGACAGAGCTGATACAAATGTTTGAAAGGTGACATGGTCCATGCCAACCATCGTAGTTGGGATCCGGTGAGTGAGGTGCCAAGCCGATGTGAGCCAAAGCAAAACAACGGCCAATGAGAGATTGAAGATGTTTCACTGAAGGCTTGGAGCCCTTGCTCCTCACGTCCAGTTGATTGATGTTCCTTTGGAACTTTTCCGGAGGACCGATATGGACCATGTTGCTACAGAAATATGCCAGCCAATCCACTTCGACTGAAGCCGCTTTGTGCCATGACATGGGGTACCCAGGATCAGGAAAAGCACAACTGCCCAATATGGTGATGACACACGGTCAAGCCAAACAAGAAGATCATCAACATACTGCCACAGCACGTGTCCGTGCGCCACCAAAGCATGACTGGTGCGCGCCATGAGACCTGCCACACGACTCCAGTACCACCCACTAGCTCGAGCTCCAAAATTGAGGGTGATGCAGCGCCCATTGGCGTGGAAACACAACATACCACCATCTTTGGGGTCGATGAGAATCCCACGATGGGCCTTTAATACATCGAGTGTGAGTTGTATCTGCTGTTTGGCCGCCACTGGGTGTGCACTGGAGCCTATCTTAAATATGAGGGAGCATTGCATGATGTGATTTGGCAGGAGTGTGTTGGCAGTTGAAATACTGATGGAGCTGCCGACTACCATACCTGGGAGAACGCCTTGGAGCAATCACCACACCAAGTTTGCCCACCGTGGAAGTTCCGGAACCGCAGGAATATGTGCTTGAATCAGTGAGCTCGCACTTTCCAACATCCAAACATTCCACCAGACGTTTAGTTTCGGTTAATCACACCTTGGTGAACCGGCCATGCTGGTGACGGAGGTAGAGGCTCATTGTCCAAGGGAACACACTTGGTAAGGGTCATCCAAGAACTGCGCAAGCTGTGCCACAGATGCAACCGAAATAGCTGCCCTGGTGTTCTTGAAGCCGGTTCAACAGATCCCGTGTAGGACTGCTGTCCCACCTTCAACTTCTTGCAACCACCTTGACCGCTCCTTGGAGCTTCGAACCCACAAAAATCGAACCCAGCCTTGTGATCAACTTCTTCAGGAGTGGAGCATTCTTTAAGAAGCTGTGTTTGGCGTGAGGTTCAGCAAGAACCATAAGATCGTCCACAAGATCGCTTGTGCATTTGGAACCCGTCCCGGCATGACATGAGATTGCTTCAACAACAGAGGTTCAAGATCACGCACGTCACAGGATGGCGGGCTTATTTGGGAAATGCACAACACAATTATGCACACTGGACGCGTGTCAGTCTACCTGAAGGCTGCCATGACTTAGCAGACCTTGAGAGAATGCCAGGAGTACTCCCCTTCGAGGTATACGGTATATGCGCAAGCCCCCCTCAGGCTCCTCTCATGGTGCAGTTTTGAACTCAACCATGTCGCCAAACGGCTCCTGCGGGACCTTGCGGTCATGTGCGAAGATCCAACCACCACAACCGAAAAGTTGGTGGACAGAATAGCACGACAAAATGCCAAGGTCCACAATGCGCAGCACGCTACCCAGTATCTCGCTTCCCTGGCCACTGTTCAGATTGCATCCAGAGCTCAAATGCCGAACTACACCACAATGGTCCAGCACTTCCTGGGGACTCTGCAACTGCCCATAGCGATTTACATGCTGGACTACTACCTCCCAATGCTTAGCCCCAACGAAGGATACAACGAAACAGGCCTTACCATGCAAAGCGCAGGCCCAGTGCGAGAACCCTGGCAATCCATTCAGTTCGAGTTTTTGTTCAAGGGTAGTGAATTTGGCCATTGGAAAGTTAGGGGGGGATATAATGCATTCGCCTTCCGACACCCGAGCCTGGCGCAGATGGATGTTTACCAGCTATTGGAGAGCGAAGCACGCCATCACAAAATAAGCCCTGTCGGTACTGGCCGACTCATCGCAATGGTAGGAACCACTGACCCAGACCACCAGGGTTCCACGAACTTGCAGGTCCTATTTGGGTTGGTGTTAACCATCATACCTCGCACAACCAAGAACAAAAACGAGCTACCTGCGGCCCGTATACACAGACAGTGTAACCCTAAAGCAATCGAAGTAGCCTTCCTCTCAGTCCCAGCCATCGAATTCTTTGCAGAGGAACAGCTCCAAGTGCTACATGAACGGTACTTCAGGGAGGGTCAAGGACTGGAACCAGTTGATGCAACAGTTAAGGACGACAAAGGCCCGTTGCCCCCCACTTTCTTCCTGCATGACATCTGGATGTTCGGCTGCACAAAACCCACCAGCGAGGTGACAGCTGTGGCGCAAACCCCGTTGTGCAGATATCAACTCGGGCTTGGAATCTACAATGTACAGGCTGCTGTCGATGGTATGGAGGGAGGCAAGAGATCCCACATCCTGTCTCTCTGTGGACAATTGCTGCGCCTTGTACTCATTCCCTGTCACATT